TGAATGAATCTTTAATTTAGGTTTATCTTTTCTCCCTATTGTGGATTTTTAAATAATTTTTTCTCGGGAACCATGATTGATAGTGATGATAGCCAATAAAAACCACATTGTCTAATTTCAGTATGGTTAATGGGAGGGTTCTCTGTCCCTTTTGAAAAATTAATTACCAAGCCAGATCAGCATTTAGATCACCCCTTTCAAGTACAACTTCATATACACAATATTCCTTATGCTGTAGTACGTGACGTTTACCTCTTCTGAAAAGGTACCTTCATAGTGAGACTTATTTAGAGCCATAGCTAACAGTTACATCATGATATTTCCCTCACTTTGCAAGATAAAACAAGATGTTCACTAAACATACAGTGAGTTTTGGTTATAGTCATGGTTGTCCAGAGTAACAGAACCAGGAGAATCTATCTCTCTATCTCACTACCTCCCTATATATCTATCTATCATCTATTTATCTATCTATCTATCTATATTTATACCAAGACATTTATTATAAGATATTGGCTGACATAATATGGGGTCTGAGAGGTTCCATGATTTTCCCTCTGCAAGCTGGAGAGTGAGGACAGTAGTGTCCTACTTCAAAGGTCTCAGGCAGTAGGGCCAATTGTATAGATTCCTTTCTGAGTATGAAGTCCTGAGAATCAGATCATCAAGGGCAGGAGTATATCAATGCTAACCAGTCAAACAGAAAGTGAATTCCACCTTCCTCTGCCTCTTTGTTCCATCCAAGCCCACACCAGACTGGCTAATGCCCAGCTACACTGCGGAGAGTCATCAGCTTTACTGAGTCCACCAATTCCACACTAATTTGGAACTTCCTCACAGAAACACCCCCAAATAATGTTTAATTAGATATCTAGACAGTTCACGGACCAGTTGACACATAAAATTAACCATTACAGGTTCACCTTTTGTCAACTTAGCACCCATACACATATCTTAAAACTATTCTATTTCTAAATAATGATAATAGCAACGTCACCTAACATGATACAACTATGCTATGTACAACCAAAAATGTATTACTTCTTCCCCGGAGAGGAGGTAAAATCTTTGAGTGATGTTTACTATTGATTCTCCTTGATATCTGGTAATACAAATACTAAGATGTCAAATGAACAACACTCAATTATTATACTATAAAGTCAGTACATCTTATGTCTCATGATAAGGGAATAAGAGTGGAAAGAAAACAAAGCTGTTTGCTATACACACCCACAAATGTTTTCATATCAAACTAAGAAGGAAATCTCTTGGCAAATTACACCTCATATCTGTAACTGGACATGTGATTGTTGCTGGTATTTTAACTAACTTCTTTCACTACCCATTCTGCATTCTCTTCGCCTCCAGCAAACACCTCACTCAGGTGGTCATTGTTCTTCACCTTGTGGAATAAGCCAAAGGTTCACTCCTGAAGAGTCTGGGCCATTAGAACTACTATGTGGTTTGGCCTGTTAAAGTTTTCCATTGATCTTAACCATGGGAATGGTAATGCTAAGAGATAGCCTAAGGTATCTTCTGTATTCCAGACATACTCTTCCTTACCCTCTTTGTGGAATAGTCCAGTTTCCTCTTGGTAGTTGCCATCAATCACCTCAGCCAGCACAGTAACTCACTTCTTTGTCTCATGAGTCAAAGGAACGTAAAGTCAAAGGGACCAAGGGGCAGTCTACTTTCAGCTCAACGGAAGCATTGTTGTGTGTCCTGGTGGAAGCAGGACTGCCCACTGTAAGGTTTTCCCTTCACTACTGTCCTTCCTAAATGTCACAGAGAGGAGTTGTCATGCAACAGCTGTCCACTTTATGATGGTGCCTGCATACCATGCAGAACCATCTGTAAATCAGGCCCCAGTCTTCTCTTCTCTGTCAACTCATCATAGAGAATTCCCTATAGGACCACAGGTCCAGGCTGGGAGACAGACGCCATTGCAGCAGGAGTAGAGGCCAATAGCATTTGAACCACTTCTTCATGTAACTTACTTGTGCCTTCAGGACCTGTTCCTGCCTTGATCAAGTGTCTACTACTTCTATTCGATGAAGGAATGCTGCTGTGCACACTGAACTTTACGGTTAGTGGGTCAAATAACATTCAGTGTATCAAGGGCAGCTCTGGTATCACGGCAAATTGGTGGCCCATTGTTAAACGTTCATGTTTTACCAAGGCTCACTAGCAGTCCAACAGCTGTTTCTCTAAAGTACAGTCATTATCCACAGAGGATGGCAGTGCTTTGCTCAGAATTCTAAAGGCCTGCACTGTGATCAACCTCTAGAGGCTTATTAAAGGCTCCAAGCGTCTGTCACTGCCATTTCAGGCTCCACTGGATCTGCTGGATATGGTTCAAGGAGCAGAACAGCTTGCACAGAAGCCAAGACATGTTGCAAAACCTTCTTTTGCTCTGAGACCCACTCAAAACTAGCCGCTGGTAAATGGGCTGGAGTAACACACCCAAATAATGCTAATACTGTTCCAAAATCCACAGGGGCACATTATGTGTTGTGCCTCTCTTTTGGTTTCAGGAAGGGTCAGGTGTAACAACTTATCCTTCACCTTAGAAGGGTTTTCTTGACATGCCCTATATCACTGGACACCTAGAAATTTCACTGAAGTAGAAGGCCCCTGAAATTTTGTCAGATTTGTTTTCCACCTCTGTCCTACAAATGGCTAACTGATAAATATTATTTCTTGCTCACTAAGACCAATCAGCACAATGTCATCCATGTAACAGACTAGTGTGATATAATATTTACAAATCATATGTGTGATAAAAAAAAGGCTTGTTTCCAGGATATATGAAGCACTCTCAAAATTCATAATAAAAAACAACTAAACCAATTAAAAATGGGTAAAATACTTGAACACTTTACCAAAAGAGATATACAGATGTCAAAGAAGGATGCAAAAAGATGCTTTATAAAATTAGTTACTAGGGAAATGCAAATGAAACTGCTATGAGATATTACCTATTAAAATGACCAAAATTGAAAAGACTACCCAGAGTGGAAGCAGTGATACAGGCCTTTGCGCTCAGAGAGAGGCAACCAAATAAGTTAGGAGATAATTATACAAAATTGAAGAGGGCAGTAAATTTTAGTCAAGTGTTGGTTATGTTGAAGCTACCTCTGCACATCATACTCCCCACTCCACTCTTCTGTGCACTTTTTACAGGACTCTTCTCTTCTATGTTATTTTCTCCTCTACTTTGGCTTTCATCAGCAAAATTGTAAGGAAGCAGATTAACTGATCAATCAATCTACTAAAATGATGCTGTTTGCTTTCCCCCATCTAGCCATCCAAGTCCCAAATGGAGGCTAAGCATTTTCTTTTGTTACTCAGATATCATACCAAAATACCACAAATAAGTAAGTTAAGTTTTATTTTTCTGAATGAATGTACACTGACAACTTTCTCTGTTAATGCAAAAAAGGCAAATCTGATCATCATGGTACCACCATTTCTAAACCCCTCAATAGCTTTCCTGTAAATTAAGGTATAGAACAAAGTCCCTGATCTGGCCTCCAAGGCCCTGTGTTACCCCCATATGCTGGCCTCCCTGACCCATCTGGCTCCTCCCTGCATCCCTCTTTGCAAGCCAGCTACATTTACCAAGCTGTGCTTCTCCAATTATCTAGGCTCTCCATGATAAAGACCCTGTGGATGGCACCTGTTCACAGGCATCACCTCTTGGAAATGAAGACGCTCAGGCCCCACCACTGATCTACTGAAACAGGATTCGCTTTTTAACAAGATCTCCAGGAGACTCACAGGCATTAAAGTTTGAGAAGCACTGCTATAGGTTGTCTCCCACTGTGGTCCTTTGTTTTGTTTTTCCTTTACTCCTTCCCCAGATGTTTGCTTGGTGAGATTTCTCACCAGATTTCAGCTTAAAGTTGGGAGTTAGGTATGGGTCTGGAACGTGAGCTACAGTTTGCATGAGGAGGACAAATTTACTTGGGGTTGGGTCTTGACAGGAATCTAGAAATTAGGCCTCATTAAAATCATGTGTGATTAGCTCAGATAAGACCATACTGATCAAAGCACTCAGAGCATCAACACTTATTGATAAACTGGAGTTTGCAAAAACATGTCAGAAGTGTCCTCTGTGGTTGAAAATAGTGCCATAAAGTGTAATTTCTATTGTTAAAACCAGAACTGTCTGCAATGACTGACGTTTATGATTTCAGAGACTGTGGTGCCCCATGCAGCAACCTGGATTTCTTGTACCTGTCCAAACCCACAATGCCCAGAAGAACAGCTTAGCTTTGTCCAAAAGGTAATCCATGGGTGCTATCAGGGGAATTTAAGTTCTTCACTCCTTCCTCTTCCGGCAAAAGCACACAGTTATACAATTGGTTAACTCTTGTGTTCAACACAAATTTATATAAACTTATGTAAACAACATTTTCCTGAGCTTGGATAATGAAGCCTCCAAAGTGAATCAGTGTGCAAAGAACTGTCACCTGTGTTATTGTCATTGCAGTGCTCTTATATTAGTTTCTACTTCAGAAAGCCAAACACTGAAAGGAGCTCAACAATTTCTAACAGATATAGGTAAGAGAGTATGCTTTTTGTAATATTCATTATTTTTTCATAGAAAGTTAAAATACTGTTAAATTTGTAATAATTTTGATTTGATTTACAAGATACCAAAATAGCCAGTTGAAAATGGAAAACAAATAGTGAATAATCTGCATGCTTTATTATTGTGAGTAAAATCTGGATGAGCAAAATAGCTCTAAGAACACACTGTACTCTTTAAATATTTAACCATCTGGTTAGCATACTTACAATGACTCTATAGGATAAGTTTTGGTGAATTAGAACTTTAAACAAATGAACAGTAGTTTAAGGATTTAGGTCAATGTTTTCTACATAAGAAATCTTTCTGATAATTGCATTCAAAATATTTATTTGATTTAATTAACCATATTCTCTGATTAAATTTTAAGTTAAATCACTTAAATAATAACCTCTCCATTCTTTCACCTACTTCTGACAATAATTTCGTTATACATACATGTACATATACATATATATATATACAGAAAAATGAAGAAAATGTTTCTCCAGTGCTTTTCTCAGGTTTATGACTTAATAAGTACCCACACATCAAATTGAGAATTTTTAAAATGTTTAGTGATTTGAGATTGCATGGAAGGATGTTCACTCAAAATAAATATACATTTAACAACTGCAGTTATTGACACTGGTTATTTACATTGCCTGTATTAAGTCCCAGTCTTTGAATCAATTTTATTCCACTAATAAAACTTGTGGAGAAGCAAATGCTTTAATCGCAAACCAGGAGGATTTCTAAAGAAAGTCAGCTCTAATCATAGTAATAACAAAGATAAAGCATCTTTTATATATGAAAAGAACTTTGAGGCCATGCTAGTATATTTATGAGCAAAAAATAAAATTAAAATGAAAGTTTTTAACACACCATTGTAAAGCAATTATACTCCAATAAAGATGTTTAAAAAAAATTCTTAATTAAAAAACCTAAAAAAAATGAAAGTTTCTAATTAATACACAAATTCCATAGGAAAATAAACTTGGAGTTTTTAATAAAAGAAAAAGAAAGGTGACCCTGTGTTGACAACTTTTGTTGAAGCCAGAGTTGACAGATATTTATCCTCCAAACGCTGAGACTTTCCCCTTATTTCATCTTCAGCCTTTCTCTGATACTTCCTCTCTCTATTTGCTTGTCTTTCCTACACTTATTCATCTATGTTCGTTTGTCTCTTCCAGTTTTTTGTTGTTCCTTGTCACCCACACAAATTTTCCATTCCACTTCTCTATGCACTCTCATCTCAATGACCTCTTCTCTCTCTTTTGAAAACTTTCATGACATCGTTCTATAAGGAAAAATATCGCATCTGTCTATGGGCGGTGGTAAACAAATGTCAATTGTTGTCCACAACTTATATACTTTATTTCATTCTCCTCACTGCTGTGCCATTTGCTTCCTTTTCATTTCTCATTATTCTCCAACCTCAACTCTATCCCAAAATGGAAATTGCTCTCACTAAAAACTCTCTTAATTCCTACACACAATGATCTCTATTCACTCCTTATCCTACCAGAGCAATTATTTCATTTTAGGCACTGTATTTTCCTTTGTCCTTCTTGAGTATTTTCCTCTCTTTAAGTTCCCAACACTCAGCTTTCCAGTTCCCTCCTGATTCTCTGACACTCTGCTCTGTAGCTTTTTCTGGTCTTTCCTTTTCTCCTTTTGTGTGAGCCAGAGCTCTTGGCTGCAAGATGAAATGAGTTAATTGAATGAAAATTGGCTTGGACATAGAAATGTTAGGGAAGTTGGGGAAATCCACTAGAGAAATTGGCAGGACACAAAGAAAGAAGTCAGACAGTCAACAGCCAAAATCATGTCCCATCTCTAGCTCAATAAGACCTGTTGTCATTGCTGCTGAACTTGAATGCCACAATTCACACTCTCAATGCCATTGCTATGGGTACAGGATTTTCTGGGGTCATGATATTGTTTCCTTGGTTGACTTTATAACCAAAATTCTCTTTGTCCACATTTGACCTCTTTCTCCCCTCTCCATATCCCAAATAGAGTGTAAATGAGTTTTTGGGGGCTAACCCTATATCAAGCCCCCTCATTCTAGGTACCAGGGGGATGGGAAAGATAGTTTCCAGAAACTTTGGCTTCTAGAGAGGTTGAGAGCTTTAGTCTGCCACCAAGACTCATTTGGTAGAAAAGAGGATCAGATGTGAACCATCTAATAAATGATGTACATCCATTTTTAATCTCTTTAATGTAACTTCTTCAAGTTTATTTTCATTCCTTCCTCTTTTTTTTTTTTTTACCTTATGCACACTGTCCAATGTATAAGCCATATATAAGGATGTTTTCAGCCACCTCAATGATACCCAAGTCATTATTTCTATTAAGCACTTGTAGAATCATACTAAGTTTATCTCACCTGGATGTTCAGAGGATGCTCCTTGCAAAAACTAGCTACTGCATCTTCAATCTCAATTTTTAATGACTACCTATCCAGTCATTAAAGAGAGTGACTCTCTCTCCTTTACTAATTACTCCTTCACATTTAATCTGTCACCAAGTCTTAGTGACTCTACATTCTAATTTATTTTGATCTCTTTGTCTCCCTCATCATTCTAATCATATCACACATGAACCAAGAACCTCACATACATTTTAATCAACTGGGAGCATTTAAAAATGCATATTACTTGACCACATTCATGATCTACTAAATCAATTTCTACAGTAGTACCTCAGACCCAATGTTTTGCATGGAAAACTACCCCAAACAATTCGGATGTGTAATCTGGTTTGGGAATTACAGGACAAGTGTTATAACTTCCTGAAGAGTATTCATGACACAAGATTCTGCTTCCTGCAGACTATTTCTACAACCAAATATTTAATTTCAAAACTAACTGATGATGACACTCCATATCTTAAAAGTTTTCAGTGCTTGCCTATTCCTTGAAGAATAAAATTGAAGATCATTCACATGGCATTCAATTCGTTTGATAATCCAGGCCTTTCTAAGATTTTTTTGATGTGCATCCATGTCAAACACACAGAATTTCCCTACCTCATTCAATAGCTTCCCCATAAATTTGCTCATGTTCAGAATTTCTTTCTTTTCTTCTAAATCTGTTTATTCCTATACATATTTTGAACTGAAATAATCACATTTTTCCAATATAGCAATTTCCTGAAATACTTTTCATGTATTAAAGAGTAAATAAAATAAATGGCATTGAGTCTAGTGTATGGTTTTATTTATATTAGCTTAACCAAATCTTCTTTTTAAACTTCTGATAAATGTTACTTTACATTTACTGCATTGTATTTTAGAGGCCATCTAAGGATATGGAAACGGAAAATGCAACAGAGCTGACAAGAGTTTGCTCTCACAGGACTTACATACCAACCAGAGTGGCAAATCCTCTTGTCCCTGCTGTTCTTAATGCTACACCTCATCACCATGTGGGAAACCGTGGTCTGATTGCTCTCATCTGTAATGACCCTCACCTTCACATTCCCATGTACTTATTCCTTGGGAGCTTGGCTTTTGTAGATACTTGGTTATCACCCACAGTGGCCCCCAAGATGCTGGTCAACTTCTTTGCCAAGAGCAAAATGATCTCTCTCTTTGATTGCAAGATACAATTTTTTTCCCTTGCAATCTGTAACCATGGAATGTTTTTTGCTGACCACAACGGCGTATGATCGCTATGTGGCCACATGCAAACCATTACACTATCCAGTGATTATGACGACTAGGCTATGCATCTGGCTATTAGTTTTGTCATTTATAGGTGGCCTTTTCCATGCCATATTCAGATTAACTTTTTGCAATTCCATCATAGTACATCACTTTTACTGTGACATTATACCATTATTTAAGATTTCCTGTACTGATCCTTCCAGTAACTTTCTGATGATTTTTATTTTCTCTGATCAATACAGTTGTTCACTATTTTCATTGTTCTTGTGTCTTACACACTTATTCTCTTTACAGTCTTAAACAAGAAGTCTGCAGAAGGCATAAGGAAGGCCTTCTCCACCTGTGGAGCCCAACTCCTATGTGTCTCTTTATACTATGGGCCTCTTCTCTTCATGTATGTGTGCCCTGCATCCACACAAGCAGATGATCAAGATATGATGGACTCTTTATTTTACACTATCATAATTCCTTTGTTAAATCCAATTATCTACAGCCTGAGAAATAAGAAAGTCATAGATTCACTGACAAAAATGTTAAAGAGAAATGCTAATAGGTGTTCTTTTTTCATTAAAAGAACACATAATTGTACAGGTTAGATGTTGCTACGTGTTGACTAGTGTTCAAAGTTTTTTGCATTTATAATTGTCCTACTATTTTAATGACTTAAGATGTTAGTGCCTAACAAATTCCTTAAAGTATTTGCATATCTTATTCAAAAATATGTAAGGAGGGGGTGGAGGCAAGATGGCGGACTAGGAGGACGCGGAATTTGCGTCCACATTCCCTGTCGACTAGGGCACCTACCAGGCACTGGTAGGGTACCATGGACACCTAGGGTACGGGAGGAACCCCCAGCGACTGGGTAGGACATGGAGCATGGAGGGAGTAAAGGGGGAGGAGAAGTGGAGGCGGGACGGGACTGGCACTCCTGAGGGGTAGCTGGGGGAGGAGAAGGGATTCCCACGCCCGAAGGGGGAAATTGCGGGACCATTGGGAGGACAGAGGATCAAAAGGGAGCATAGTCAGGTTTCCCCTGCCCACCAGGGGCCCCAGGAACCTGCTGAGATCCTGGGCCTGATCCTCTGCCCACAGAGGCCCCCTCCAGCCGCGCAGGTTCTGAAGGAGTGGGGGGAGGGAAGAGGCAGCAAGAGTAAAGGATGGACCTACAGGCCGGCACCTCTGAGGGGCGGCTGGGGGAGGGGAGGAGTTTCTACACCCAGCAGGATCCATCCATGGTTAGGGGTCCAGAGGGGATGGAGGAGACCCTGTGGGAGACCCTGAGAGGGTAACGGAGGAATGGAAAGGAACGTGGCCAGCACTTTCCCTGTCCACTTAGGCACTGGGGAGCCTGTTGGGCTCTCAGGCCTAATCCTCTGCCCTCGGAGCTTCCCTCTTACCGCAGAGAGCCCAAGCCCTGTCCCTACACCCCCACCCAGGGCCCTACCTCTATACTCAGAGACCCCCTCCAATGTGCTGGGCCTAAACCCCACCCACACACCCTCACCCAGGGCCCTACCTCCAAACTCCAGAACCCCACACTCCACTCATGCTGCCTTTCCCCTTCCACGCAGGTCCTAAGCGGAGGCCCTGCACCTCGCTTTAACATCGCCCTGCCTAGGCCCCGCCCCAAAGGCCTTTTCTGGCTGTGTGCGTCCTGAGCCTAAGTCCTGCCTAGGCCCCACCCCTGCCTAAGTTCCACCCCCGCCTAAACTCCACGCCCCCTATAGCCAAGGACTTTTATTTTTTCTTCTTCTTTTAGGTTGGGGTTCTGTTTTACCCTGTTGTTGTTGACACATTTATATTTTTATTTTTTCTAATAAATCTTTTATTTTTCAAAATTTATTTTATTCTTTATACTTTGTTATTGTTCTGCTCCTTTTGGCTTGTTCCCCCCTTCTTTTTTTTTTCTTTTTTCTGTTGTGGTTTTGTTTTACCTTGTTGCAGTTGTTTCAATTATATTTTTATTTTTCATAATATACTTTTTACCTTTCTAATTTTATTTTTTATTCTTTGTTATTGTACTGCTCCTTTTTTTCTTTTTTCTTTTTTTTTCCACTGAGCCACGTGGCTTGTGGGATCTTGGTTCCCAGGCTGGAGGTTGGGCCTCCAAACAAACAAAAAGCAAAAGCCCAAACAAAATTTGTCCTCAAAAATTATATTAAGATTTAAAGGGTTTTCTCTTCTAAATGTTAGAAAAACTAAAGTATAAAAGCAAGCTTTTAATCTACTCTGATATACTTCAGAAAATTTTACACAATTTTCTTAGAATCAGAAAAATTGTAGATGAGTCCCTTCAGATTAGGAATACCACTAACCTGGACTGATTCCAATTATGAGTACTGATATATGCATAGCATTAACAAAAACCTGGAGATGCTGATCAAGCATATTGAGATATAAAATGTTAAAAATTCTACATTTATAAACAAAAACACTTATTGATCCTTACAATTATGAAAGAAAAAAATAATTTACTGAGAACCTACTATCTGCTAGGCACTAAGCTAGAACTCATATATATTACCTACTAAAGAGTTAGACATGATTTTTCACGATTTTCCTCAGTAAAAAATTTCATACTTTGAAATATCAAGGAAAGGATTTATTACCAAAAGACCAAATCTAGAAATAATAAGCAGATTAACTGATGTATGTGATTCTCTGATTATTTGCCTTTTGACCTCAATCCATTTTCCAACTTCCTCTCCTGTGTTTTGTTTTATAATTAGGGACCACTGTAAACTCTATTTCCCAGACTCCCTCCCTTTCAAATGTCTTCTGGCTAGATTTGGACAATGATGAGCACTGTAACTAAAGAGTGGGGGGAAACCCACAATATTTCTGCCCTGTTCCACTGCTGTAGGGAGTGTCTCCAGCACAAGCTGCATCTTATCACTGAGTCCACCTCCTGCAGGGAAACTGCTCATGCGGGTCAAATCATGGGTTCTGTTAACTAACCACTCATCCTCATGGGAGCTTCCTACCATTAGTAATCTCTGGGCTGCCTTACTATTCCCTGTTTGACTTTTTGATTTTACAACACTTTCAAACCATTTGCTAAATTAAATTTCCTCTTCTTAACTAGTGGGTAAGGTCTTTGTTTTCATGAATTGTTCCTCTTACAATGACTACATAAAATTTAAAAACTTTTATATAATAATAAAATAGAAGAGTTAACAGCCACATAAAAATACAAGAAAAGATATTTAAGACATTTATGAGGGAAAGAAAAAGTTTAATACCTTTAATATATAAGGAACTCTTACAATTCATTAAAACATGCAAACATCTGAATGGAAGGAAGGGCCACTGAACATTCAACTGAAGAATTAAAAATATCCAATAAGTTTAAGAAATATATTTAACTTATTTCAATTTAAATAAATGAAATTTAAAATTTTGTTTTATTTATTTTACTTCTATGGGGTGAGGGGAAAGAAGAGCTACCAGTTTGGAAAACATTTAAAAGGATAATGATAGCCAATTTGTGGGAACATAATGGAGCAGTTGTACTGCTAAGATTGATAGTCTTTATGAGGACAGTAAACAAAATAGATTAGATTGGGGGTGGCCACAACTGGGGAAGAATCTTGATCATGGGACTTAGAGGTCATCCGGGCCCAGGGTAGAGCCTGGGTGGGACAGTGGTGGCCATTGATGGCACTTACTAAAGTGGCACCTCAGAAGCCACCCAGATCTCTTAGCAGAGCCATGGACACCTACACAGGCAGCACACTGAACCTCTGTGCATGTGACCCACTCATTTTAACACTCCCCTCTGCTGGGGCAAAGGTTCTAGCACAGGGAGAGGGAAAAAGACACACTTAAAGGGAACAGGGCCCCCTCAAAGCCCAATCCTCATGGCTTCTAAAAAAATAAATAATAAAACATAAATAAACAATTTACCAGATAAAAAATTCAAACATTGGTAGGAAAAATGTGAACTGAATTGGGGAAAATAATTGATCTAAACACTGAACAATTTGACAAGGGACTAGAATGCAAAAACGACCCAGTCAAAAATGAATAATTTAATAGCTGAAATAAAAAACACACTAGAAGAAATGAATAGCAGACCAACTGATACAGAAGAATGCATAAGTGATTTGGAAGACAGAATAATGAAAATCAACCAAACAGAACAATAGGAAGAAAAACAAGTTTAAAAAATAAAAGCACTCTGGAATACCATGAAGTGTTTCTACATTCACATTATAGGGGTTCCAGAAGGAGAAAATAGAGAAAATGGTGGGAAAAATGTATTTGAGGAAACTGTAGTTGAAAATTTCCCAAACCTGAAGAAGGAATAGATATCCAGGTACATGAAGCACAGTGGGTCCCAAAGAAGATGAACCCAAATAGACCCATACCAAGACATGTCCTAACAAAAGTTAAAGAGAGAACTCTAAGGCAGCAACAAAAAGGAGAGCCATATTCAAATGAATCCCCATAAGACTATCAGCTGATTTCTTTGCAGAAACTTTGCAGGCCAGAAGAGAGTAGCATAATGTATTCAAAGTCCTGAAAGGGAAAAACTTGAAACCTAGGATACTCTACCCCTCAAGATTATGATTTAGAATAGAATGAGAGATAAAAAAATTCTCAAACAAGCAAAAACTAAAGAAATTCATCAATACTCAAATGGTGAAGGGTCTTCTCCGAATGGAAAAGAAATAAGAATCTGTAAGAAAGGGAAAAAATCTCACTAGGAAAGGCAAATATATAGTAAGGAGGGAGGACCAATCAATTAAATAAGCCAGTGTGCAGATTAAAAGACAAAAAATTGTAAAAGCAACTTTAACTACAGTAAATAGTCAAGGGATAAGCATTAAGATATAAAATATGACATCAAATACACAAAATGTTAGGTAGAGGAGTAAAAATGTAGATCTTTTAGACTGTGTTTGAGTGTAAACAACTACCAGTTTAAAGCAAGTAGACATACAGGTCAACATTTAGGAATCCCATGGTAGCCACAAATCAAAAATGTACAATAGATTCACACACACACACACACACACACACACAAAGAATGCAAGCATAATCTTAAAGAAAATAATAAAACCACAAAGGAAGAAAAAAGAAGAAAGAATGAACAGAGAAGAACTACAAAAACAACCAGAAAACAAGTAATAAAATGTCAATAATTACTGTAAATGACAATGGACCAAATGCTCCAATCAAAAGACAAAGAATGGCTCATTGGACCCTTCAATAGGCTGCTTTCAAGAGACTGCTTTCAGGGATAAAGACAAACAGACTGAAAAGGAAGAGTTGGAAAAAGATATTTCATATAAACAGAAATGACCAGTAAGTGGGGGTTAGCAATATTCACATCAGACAAAATAGACTTTAAAACAAAGGCTATAATGAAAGACAGAGAAGGGCATTATATTATGATCAAAGTATTAATACAAGAAGATATTATACTCATTAACATATATGCACCCAATACAAGAGCACCTAAATATATCAAACAAATACTAGCAGACATAAAGGGAGAAATTGAAAATAATACAATAATAGTAGGGTACTTTAACAGCCCACTTACATCAATGGACAGATCATCCAGACAGAAAAGCAATAAGGCAACAGTGGTCTTAAATGACATGTAAGCCAAGTAGAACTTAATAGATATACACAGGACACTACAGCTAAAAATAGCAGAATATACTTTCTTTTCAAGTGCATATGGAATGTTCCCCAGGACAGACTACAGGCTAGGCCACAAAACAAGTCTCAACAAAATTAAGAGAATAGAAATTATATAAAGCATTTTTTCCAACCACAACATTATGAAACTAGAAGTCAATTACAAGAAGAAAAATGAGAAAAGAACAAACAAGTGGGGATGACAGAACATGCTACTAAAAAACCAATGGGTCAATGATGAAATCAAAGCAGAAATCAGAAAGTACCTTGAGACAAATGAAAATGGAAGCACAACACTCCAAAATCTATATGATTCAGCGAAAGCATTTCTAAGAGGAGGCTTTATAGCCATTCAGGCCATTCTCAATAACAAACAAACAAACAAAAAGCAAATAAACAACCTAACCTACCAACTAAAAGATTTAGAAAAAGAAGAACAAAGCCCAAAGTTAGCAGAAGGAAGGAAATAATAAAGGTCAGAGAGGAAATAAACAAAACAGAGATCAAAATGACAACAGAAAAGATCAAAGAAATCTAGAACTGGTTCTTTGATATGATAAAAAATTGATAAACCATTAACCAGGCTAACCAATAAGAAAAGAAAGGAC